GGCCCCGCGCCCGCCGCGGGCGTGGCCGCCGCCGGCGCGGCGACGGCGCGGTCCCCCGGCACGTCCGGCGGCGGGAGCCCGCCGCCGCGGCCCCTGGGCCTGCGCATGGCGAGCCGCACGGACACGACGGTCACCATCGAGTGGCGGCCGGGCGAGAGCGGCGCGGGCGCGGCCGCGTCCAAGGCCTACGAGCTCCAGTGGCGCCTCCGGGGCGACGGCAAGGCCCAGGCCGGCGCCTGGGAGTCCGCGAGCCAGCTCATCCTCAACACGACGTGCCGCAAGCGGAACCTGCGGCGGCGGTCGTGCTACGAGTTTAGGGTCCGCGCCGCGTCCGTGTCCGGCTGGTCGCCCCACAGCGACCCGCTGGTCATCACGACGCTCGCCGAGGCGCCCGGCGACGCCGCGCCCGCGCGGCCCGCGACGTCCCAGGCGCCGAGCCGGGGAAACGGCGCGCAGCGGGACCGCCGGTCCGCGGGCGAGCTGCCCGCGGTCGGCCGCCGCGCGGAAATCTTCGACCCGACTTCAATGGGCGCGTCTTCGAACGGTTCGACACACGTTCTTCGGTTCTGCGTCGAGCACTCGACGAGAGCGATCGATTCGTCCAAAAATCAGCCGCATCGACTTGGAATTGACCGAGATAGAGAGGTTTGAAGCTTTTGCTGGACAGGGCGTTCACCGGTTGATGTCCGCGCAGGTCGGCCGCCGGCCCGCGCAGGGCCGCGGGCCCTGGCAGTGCAGCGTCTGCAAGCGGAGCAACGGGCCCGGCGCGGCCAAGTGCAGCGTCTGCGGCACGAAGAAGGACTACGACTGGGCGCCCGCGGCGGGCAAGGGCGCGGCCGACGCCGCGCCGCGCGCGCGCCGCGCGTCCAAGCCCAGCGACGACGACGACGACTGGGGCCTCGACGGGGACACCTGGACCTTCTCCGAGCGCGACGTGCCGAGCAGGCCCGCGCGCGAGTCCGACGTCGACTACGGCGACGACGCGTCGGCCGCGGGCGGGCCGGCCTACGCGGCGCGGCCGACGTTCTGGCTCAACACGGCGGCGACGTGCCTCCACAACGTGCGCCGCGAGCCCATCAAGGGCAGCCCCATCGTCGGCCACCTCGTCGCCGACACGGAGGTCGAGGTCCTCGCCGAGGCGGGCAACTGGATCAAGTGCAAGTACCACCGGCCCTACAAGTCGCCCGACGGCGCGCCGCAGCCGCGGCGGCCCGACAAGGAGGGCTGGTGCCTCAAGTGGGACGACGCCTCCGGCGCCGTCTACGTCGTCGACGACGGCAACGCCTACCCGTCGTCCGGCGGCGACGAGGGCGCGGACGACGAGGTCATCTACGAGCTCCGCGACGAGGACAACCGGCTCTACTACTTCAACTGCTACACGGGCGTGAGCATGTGGGAGCCGCCGGAGTGGACCGACAGCGTCGACCCGGCGAGCGGCGCCGTCTACTACACGCACTCCGAGACGGGCGAGACGCAGTGGGAGCGGCCCTTCGACTTCGTCCCCATCGTCCGCGAGGAGCTCTACTCGACGCCCCAGGCGCGCTTCATCAAGTCCATCCTCTCGCCCAAGCGGTCCCACCACAACATGAACCACGCCATGCCGGGCGTCGGCCTCCCGCGCGTCTGAGCCGTAAGCGCGCGGCGAAGCTCGAGCGCGCGCGCGCGCGGCGGGGCCGCGTCGCTCGGCCCCTCGTGTGGTCGAAGCGTAGCCCGGTCCGGGGGGGCTGCCGCCGCCCGGTCCGCGTCCCCCGCTGCCGCCGCGGGTCCCCCCACGGCGCCCGGGTCCGTTACGCCGCCGGCGCGCTCGCGCCGCGCTCGCCCTACCAGTCCGCGGACCCCTCGAACTGGTTGCTGTTCGCCGGCGTGATGCCCTTGGTGGCGAGGAGCTCGCCCAGGGGCGAGTCGACCTTGATCTTGCCCGACATGAAGGGGTAGAACTTGCCCGGCGGGCCCGGGTTCTTCGTGAGCTCCTCCTTGACGATCTCCTCGATGACCTCGCGGCCGTGGGCGATGGAGTAGACCGTGTCGACGACCTTGGCGGGGACGACGACGACGCCGTCCTGGTCGCCGACGACGGCGTCGCCGGGGCGGACGGCGACGCCGCCGCAGCTGATGAGGCCCTGCGCCTCCCACGGCTGCATGACCGCCGGGCCCTGGCGCGGCGTCGTCGAGTAGGAGAAGACGGGGAAGCCGTAGGAGATGAGCTCGTCCGTGTCGCGCACGGAGCCGTCGGTGACGAGGCCGCCGATGCCGAGCTGCTTGAGGCGGAGGAACTTGATGTCGCCGCCGACCGACTCCCAGGGCCCGACGGACGCCATGACGAGGACCTCCTTGGGCCCGCAGAGCTCGAAGGCCTCGTACTCCGGCGACGCGCCCCCGGGCGGCTTGTCCGCCTGGATGTCGGGCCGCTGGGGCACGAAGTTGAGCGTCACCGCGCGGCCCGCGCACTTTTGGCCCGGCGCGAGGCCGCGCGCGCCCTCGATGTGCGCGCCGGGCCAGCCCATGACCCAGAGGCCGTCGATCAGCGCCTGGGTCGACAGCTCGCCCAGCTTGGCGAGCATCTCGTCGCTCACGGAGCCGCCGGACGCGGGCCTAGAGGCGGAACGGTGGGTCGCGCGGCGCGCGGCGCGCGGCGATGCGCACGGACGCCGGCGCCGCGCCCCATGGCCAGCGTGCGGCGCGCATTCGTCGCGACGAGCGCGGGCAGGCGGGAGCGGAGCGCGAGCATGGCTGGAGCGGAGTGTGTGTGTGCGTGCTCTGGTCGAAGCAGTGCGTCGTGACGAGGACTTCAGGATCGCGCTTCTTTGGCGGATTGATTTCCCTTCACCTTGAAGGTGCACGCGCGAGCGGCGACCGCCGCGACACGCCACGGAACGAGGCGCCTCGCGCTGCCTCGGCTCCGTTCGCGCGTCGTCGACGGCGCGGCGTCGACGGCGCCGAGAGCCGCGCCTCGCGCCGCGACGCCGCGCGACGACGCGAAGCGCGGTCTCGACGCGCTACCAGGTGTACCTCTCGGCCACCGCGTCGGCGCGGCCGTCCTGGCCGCCGCGCGCGCCCCCGCGGACGCGCGCCCCTCGACCCCCCAAGCACGCGCGGCCGCCGCCTTAGCCCGGCGCGTAGTCGAGGTAGAAGCCCGTCTCGGGCAGGACGTGCTGGGGCCGGCACGCGGAGTCGGGCTCGAAGGCCGGCGCCGCGGTGTCGAGGCGCGACGCGGCGTAGCGCTGGAGCGCCGCGAAGGCGTCGGACGCCGGCGGCGGCGCGGCGCGCTCCGGGAGCACGGGCAGCGGGCCCGACGCCGTGTTGAAGACCGCGGGGACGCCGTGGCGGTCGAAGGCGGCGACGAGGCACGCGACCTTGTCGTCCGCGGCGTCCCAGTCGCGGTAGTCGACGTAGACGATGTCCCAGCCGACGAGGTCGAGGAGCCGCCGCTTGAGCTTGGACCGGCCCGTGAGCATCCACTTGGCGTTGGCGAAGTAGTGCACGGGCCCGTCGAACTCGACCGCGACCTTGAGCTCGGGCTTGGCCATGTCGAGGCTCAGGCCCGACCGCGCCTGGGCGGGACGAGAGAGATTCGACGTCGCTCCAACGCGGGTGTGCCGCGCGCGCGCGTTCCATGAAACGCATCCACGCGTCGAGACCGTTCCGAGAGATGATCGCTCGTCGAACCATCGGCCGAAACGAGCGGAACGCGGCCGAGAGCGGAGCCTTTGAAGTCGGGACGTTCGCGCGCTCGTCCCGCCCCGGACCGCGCCTCGAAGTACTCGTAGGAGTGGGCCCAGCCGAGGTGGTCGAGCGCCGCGCTCACCTCGAGCTGCGTGCGGCTCCCGAGCGCGCAGTCCGACGTCGTCAGCGCGGCCTGGAGCGCGCGCGCCCACTCGCCGTCGAGCGGCGGCACGGCGGCGACGGCGCCGTCGAGCGTGAGGCGCAGGTAGGCCTGCTGGAGCTGCGACTTGGCGACGTCGTCGAAGATCGCCGGCGTCCAGCCCCGGTCTAAAAGCACGAGCCAGAGCTCGCGGCACGGCGCCGCGTCGTCGAGGTTCGAGAACGACCAGACGAGGTTCGCGAGCTCCTGGCTGCTCAGGTCGTCGAGCACGGCCAGCGCCCGGTCCTTGAGGGCCTCGAAGAGGCCGCCGCGGTCCGTCTCGCCCACGGCCGCGAAGGCCCAGGCGACGTTCGCGACGTCGACGGGCAGCAGCTCGTCGACGATCGCGCCGCACGCGGCCGCGAGCGCGTCCATGAGCGCCGGCGCGTAGACGGCGGCCTTGGCGTAGGACCAGGCGAGCGTCGCGACCTTCTGCGGGTTCGCGAAGCCCCGGTCCAGCGCTCTCAGTCGCGGCGCCGCGTGGCGCGCCGCGGCCTCGAAGAGCGCGACGTGCTCCAAATCGTTCGACGCGAACGCCCAGAGCGTGTTCGTCACGTCCTGCGCGTTGTAGCGGCCCAACTTCGCCTGGGCCACGCGCGCGAGCTGGAGGAAGAGCACCTGGGCCCGCTCGACCAAATTCAGCTTCGCGTAGGCCCAGGCCAGGTTCGCGAGCTCCTGCGACTTGAAACCGTCGAGGAGCGGTTCCGCGACGCGCGCGAGCGCGTCGAAGAGGGCCGTGTCCCGCGACCCGGCGCGCGCGTAGGCCCAGGCGCAGTTGGCGATGTTCTGGGAGTTGAAGCCGCGGCCGCAGACTCGGACCGCCGCGCGGCTCAGCGCCGCGAACGCGGGCGTCGCAAAGTAGTCCGCGTCGGGCCCGTCCTCGAGGCGCCGCTTCACCTGGGACTTGTCGTCGCCGGCCGGCGCCACCGTGAGCCCGATCGTCGCCAGCGCCCAGGCGCTGTTGGCGATGTCCTGGCCGCTCGGGCTCCACGCGGCCTCCTGGCGCACGATCTCGCCGCACATGGAACGGAAGAAGGCGTCGTGGCGCCGGTTCGCGAGCGCGAACGCGTAGAGCGTGTTGGAGCAGTTCTGGTTACTGAACTGGTCGATGATCGACGCCGCGAAGTCGCCGAGGACGCCGAAGAGCGCGTCGGAGCCCATGGCGACCTTGGCGAAGGACCACGCGACGTTCGACACGTTCTGCGCGCCGAAGGTCTCGGGCACGCCCTCGGCGACGAGGAAGGCGTCGACGGCGTCGAAGAGCCGGGCGTCGCGGATGTCGTTGGACGCGAAGGACCAGACCGTGTTGCTGATGTCCTGCGCGTTGCACGCGGGCAGCAGCGCGGCGACGCGCGGCGGCGCGCGCGAGAAGACGTCGGGCGCGTCGAAGCCGGACACCGTGAGCGCGTGGAGCAGGCTCGCCAGGTTCTGGGGGCTGAAGCCGTCGAGGGAGCAGGGGCCGTCGCCCGCCGCGACGTCGCAGATCTTGCGGAGGCAGTCGAAGTAGGCGACCTTCTCGTCGCCGTCGTGGACCTCGGGCCCCTCCGTGAGCCGCTTCGCGAGGGACCAGGCGACGTTGCTCAGGTTCTGCGGGTTGAAGACGCCGATGACGTCGTCGCGGGCCACGCGCGCGGCGATGGCCCGGAAGAGGCGCGCGTCGTAGTAGCCGACCTTGGCGAAGGCCCAGCCCGTGTTGCTCAGGTTCTGCGGGTTGAAGACGTCGAGCTGGCGCACCGACGCGGCCGCGACGCCGTCGAAGAGCTCCGGCACGACGACGCCCGCCGTCGCGAAGGCCCAGGCCGTGTTCGTCAGGTTCTGCGGGTTGAAGTCGCCGAGCTTCGCGAGCGCCGCGCGCGCGATGGCCCGGAGGAAGGGCTCCTGCGACTCCGCGCCGCACTTGGCGTAGGCCCAGACCGTGTTCGCGAGCTCCTGGGCGTTGTACTCGCCGAGGCGCCGCTCGCCCTCGGCGGCGACGTGCGCCATGAGCTCCGGCGCGCGGAGGCCCATCGTCGCGAAGGCCCAGACCGTGTTCGAGAGGCCCTGGCTCGTGAAGCTCCCGAGCTCGCGCTGCGCCGCACCGGGCAGGCGCCGGAGCGTCGCGAGGCAGTCCGCGTCGTCGCTCACCTCCGCCGTCGCGTAGGCCCAGCTCAGGTTCGCGACGTCCTGCGCGTTGAACTCGCCGAGCCGCGGCCCGCACGCGGTCGCGATCGCCGCGTACGCGCGCGCGTCCGTGACCTTCATCTTGCCGAGGCTGTAGGCCGTGTTGACGAGGTGGCGCGTCGTGAAGACGCCCGGCCGCGCGCCAATCTTGCCCGCGACGGACGCCACGAGCGCCTCGACGAGCGGCTCGCCGCCGCCCCGGCCGAGCCGCAGGCCCGCCTTGCTCAGCCGGTGGAGCGCCGTGACCTGGTTGAACGTGTTGAGCCGCGCCGGGCCCTCGCGCTCGACGAGCGCCAAAATGTCGGCGACGGTCTTGCACTTGCGCAGGAGCAGCGTGTTCACCTCCTTGTCGCGCGCGGAGGGCGCCTCGTCGCCGCAGCTCAGGCCGGACGCCGCGCCCCGGCCCCGGCCCTTGCCGAAGGGCCCGCCGCGGCCGCCCCTGCCCTTGCCGCCGCCGCACTCGACGCCCTTGCCCTTGCCGCCGTCGAAGCCGCCCTTGCCCTTGCCGCCGTCGAAGCCGCCCTTGCCCTTGCCGCCGTCGAAGCCGCCCTTGCCGCCGCCGTCCCAGGCGCCCTTGCCCTTGCCGCCGTCGAAGCCGCCCTTGCCGCCGCCGTCCCAGCCGCCCTCGCCGCCGCCGTCCCAGCAGGCGCCCTTGCCGCCGCCGTCGAAGCCGCCCTGGCCGCCGCCGTCGAAGCCGCCCTGGCCGCCGCCGTCCCAGCCGCCCTTGCCGCCGCCGAATCCGCCTTTCCCGCCGCCGAAGCCCTTGCCGCCGCCGAAGCCTTTGCCGCCAAAGCCCATCCCTTTCCCGCCGTCGAATAGATTGCCGTCGAAGCCCTTGCCGCCGCCGAAGCCCTTGCCGCCGCCGAAGCCCTTGCCGCCGTCGAAGCCCTTGCCGCCGTCGAAGCCCTTGCCGCCGTCGAAGCCGTTGAAGCCGCGGCCGCGGCCGAAGCCGTCGTTGCCGCGGCCGCGGCCGCGGCCTCCGCCGCCGTCGAAGGGCGGCGGCGCGTAGCCGCCCCAGCCGCCCGGCGGCATCGCGCACTCGCCGCCCGGGAATGCGGCGCCCTTGCCATCCGGGAACGACGGCGCCGCTGGCGGCTCGTAGCCGCCCCAGCCCCCCGGCGGCATGCCATGACCGTTCGGCGGCCGCGGCGGCGACGGCGCCCGCGGCTGCGGCGGCTGCGGCGGCGGCCGCGGCGGTTGCGGTTGCGGCTGCGCCGGCGGTTGCGGCGGCGGCGGTTGCTGCTTGCTGCTGCGCTGCTCGGGCGAGGCGCCTCGCCGAGAGCTGGGTTGCTGCTTGCTGCTGCGCTGCTCGGGCGGGTTGCCTCGCCGAGACTTGTGCTGCTGCGTTTTTTTCGGCGGCTCTTCGATGCCGTAGCCGCCGCGCGCGCGCCAGCGCGACACAGCAGGAGACGGCGATCGCGACCCGCTCCGAGCCCGCTTGCCGGAATAAGACGAGCTCATGCTGTCAGGCGAGGGTCAACGTCAACATTGAAATTCTCAACTCCTTGGCTCGAAGGGACGGACGGCAGCCCAATCGCGACGGAGGAGCCGAGCTCCTCTGACTCTGGTGCTTCCCCCCTGGTGCATGCGCACGGCGTCGGCGTCGTCTGCGCGCGGCGACTTGGCGCTCATGAGCGTCGGCGCGTCGCTCAACGGCGACGAGCTCACCGAGGGGCTGCTCGCTGCGGACGGGCGCGGGCGGGGCCCCGCGGCGCCGCCGGGCCGGCGGCGGTCGGCGTCGGAGAGCTTCCCGGAGCGCTTGCCGTCGCGGGACGGTAGCGTGGGCACGAGCGTCGGCGCCTGGGCGGCGGGCTTCGCGCGGCGCGGGTCGCTGGACCCCTTCGCGCGGGAGGTCGTCGACGGGGAGCGCGCGGCCGCGCGGCGCGCCGCGCTCGGCGGGTCGAGCCGGGACCTCGCGGGCCTCGGCGACGTCGAGGGCGCGGCGCCCGCGGCGCCGCCCGGGAGCCCCGCGGCGCCGCCGAAGTCGCGGACGGAGGTGCAGCTGCTGTCGTCGTTCGAGGCCCTCGACTACGGGCCGTCGATGTCCGCGTACCGGCGCGCGCGGCGCCGCGACCGGCGGCGCGCCGAGGGGGACGCCCTCGTCGCCTTCGCGACCCTGCTGGCCGTCGGGTGCATCGTCGGCACCTGCGGCTTCTGCGTCGCGCGCGGGACGACGTCCTTCCAGGCGCGGCGCTGCGCGGAAATCGACCGCCGGGTTTCGGGACGTCCCGACCAAACTTTGAAATTCTTTCGCTCGGTCACATCGAAGTCGATTCGGCTCATTTTTGGACGAATCGAGTGCTCTCGTCGAGTTCTCGAAGCACATCGGAGATTCTTTTGTGAAAACGTTCGAATACGCGAACATTGAAGTCGGATTCCGCGCAGGCGCGGCGCCTCGAGCTCGCGCGCTACGGCCCGTCGGGCGCGGTGACGCCGGGCGGCGTCGCCCGCGTGCTCGCCGCGTCCGCGGGCCTCGCCGTCGCGTCGGCGCTGCTCGTCGTCGGCGTCGAGGCCGCGGCCGCGGGCTCGGGCATCCCGGAGGCCAAGGCGTACCTCAACGGCGTCAACTACAGCCGCTACCTCGCGCTGCGCTGCGGCGCGGTCAAGGCCGTCGCCGTCGTCCTGTCCGTGGCGTCGGGCCTCGTCGTCGGGCGCGAGGGGCCCCTGATCCACGTCGGCGCGGTCGTCGGCAACGCGCTCGCGACGTGGCCCGGCGCGAACCGGCTCGCGCGGCTCCGCGGCGTGAATTGGACCTGGCAGCACCGCTTCCGCCACGACGCCTGGAAGCGCGAGTTCGTCGCCTGCGGCGCGGCCGCGGGCGTCGCCGCGGCCTTCGGGAGCCCCATCGGCGGCGTCGCGTTCGCGCTCGAGGAGGCGACGACGTTCTGGGACGCGGCGCTGACCGCGCGGGCCTTCGCGGCGACGGGCGCGGCGACGGCGACGCTCTGGACCTTCGAGGCGAAGTTCCCGCTGGGCGACGTCGACGACGGCCGGCGCCGCGTGCGGTCGTCCTTCTGGCGGCTGCTCAAGTTCGGCAGCTTCGGCGACCAGCCCGCGTACGACCTGCGGGATTTGCCCTTGATGGTCCTGGGCCTCGGCGTGCTCGGCGGCGTCGTCGGCGCGGCGTTCTGCCACTGCAACGTGCGCCTGTCGCGGTGGCGGCGCCGCCGCGTGCTCGGGCGGCCCGCGCGGCGCGTCGCGGAGGTCGGCGCCGCGGCGCTGCTCACCGCGGGCGTCATGGCGGCCCTGCCGGCGCTCGTCGGGAGCTGCCGCGCCGCGACGCCCCAGTGGGCCTGCAGCGCGACGGAGAACGGCCACTACTGCGGCGACTACTACGGCCGCGGCGCGCGCGGCGGCGCCGGCGGCAACGCGACCGCGTGCGCCTACGAGTGCTGGGACCGGTCGACCTACGAGCGCGGCGGCTGCGGCGAGGGCTTCTTCGACGCGGCGGCGACGCTGTCCATGCGGCCGAGCGACGGTGCGATCCAGGGCAGGACAAGAGAGCGAAATTCTCAACTTCAAAAGGCTCCGATCTCGGCCGATTTCCACTCGTTTCGGCTGATCTTTGGACAAGCGATCATCCCTTGGAGCGGTCTCGAAGCGTGGATGCTTGTTCCGGAACGCGCGCGCGCGGAACACTCACGTTGAAGCGACATTGAATCTCTCTTGTCCTGCCCAGGCGCGATCGCGGCGCTCTTCCACGACGACGACGTCGCCTTCGGCGCCGCGGCGCTCGCCGCGTACGCGGCCGCGGCGTTCGCTCTCGCGGCGCTGACCTACGGCGTCGCGGTGCCCTCGGGGCTCTTCGTGCCGTCGATCCTCATCGGCGGCGCCCTGGGCCGCCTCGCGGGCGAAGCCTACCGGGCCCTGGACCTCGTGCCCGGCGGCGTCCACGTGCGGCCGGGCGTCTGGGCCGTCTGCGGCGCCGCGGCCGTGCTCGCGGGCGTCCGCGCGGAAATCGACCGCCGGTTCGGGACGTCCCGACCAAACTTCAGAATTCTCTAGCTCGGTCAAATCGAAGTCGATTCGGCTGACTTTTGGACGAATCGATTGCTCTCGTCGAGTTCTCGAAGCACGGCCGAAGAGCTTGCGTCGAAACTGTCGCATATGCTCACATTGAAGTCGGGTCGAAGATTTGAATTCCGCGCAGGCGGGCGTCACGCGGCTCACGATGACGATCACGGTCATCGTCTTCGAGACGACGGGCCTCAGCGACCTCGCGCCGCCGCTCATGGGCGTCGTCTGCGTCGCCAAGACGCTGGCGGACGCGCTCGGCGGGCCGCGGTCCATCTACGACGCGCACGTCGCGCTCAAGTGCATCCCCTACCTCGACGACGAGTCCAACGGCGACGACGGCGACGCGGTCGTCGGCGACGTCATGGCGACGGCCGTGCGCTGCGTGCCCGACGTCGCGCCCCACGCCGCGGCGCTGTCCTGCCTCGAGGACACGCGGCACAACGCGTTCCCCGTGCTCGCGGCCGGCGACGGCGCGTTCGTCGGGCTCGTGTCGCGGCGCGAGCTCGCGGCGCTGCTGGCCCACGTCGCGGCCCTCGCGGCCGACCCGCGCCGGCCCCGGGGCCCCGCGGGGCCCGCGCCGGCCGACGCGTTCTCCTCGTCGCTCCAGAGCCGCGTCGCGCCGCTCCCGCCGCGCGCGGTCGCCGCGCTCGAGGCCGCGGCGCCCCCGCTGGACCGCCTCGACCTCCGGCCCTACGTCGACGTCGCGCCCGTGACCGTGCCGCCCCACTGCCCCGTGCCCCGCGCCTTCCGCATCTTCAAGGCCCTCGGCGTGCGCCACCTGCCCGTGCTCGACCCCCGGACCGGCGCCGTCGTCGGCATCCTCACGCGCAAGGACCTCCTCCTCGCCCACGGCGACGACCGGGGGAGCTCCTAACGCGGCGCGGCGGCGACTCCGGCGCGAGCGCGCGAGGGCAGGCGGGAAGACCTCGTAGCCCCATCGTCCAGGAAGGCGTCGAGGACGTCGTCGGGGAAGTCCTCCCGGCCGGAAGGCGCCCTGTTCGCTCGCCCTAATTCTCGCCCTTCACAAAATTCCCAGTGGCAGAAATTGCGAGCTAAACCTAACGCCCTGAAACGCCCTAAACCTCGCTCGGCCATGTTCCGCGCTATCCTCGACCAAGCGGCGGCGCTCCCCGGCGGCGATCCCTCGTCGAACGCCTCGCCGGCGGCGCGCGACCCCCCCGCCGGGACGGCCCCGCCACCGGTCGCCATCCCCCTCCATCTCCTCGGCGCGCCCCGCGGCGGAGGCGTTCGAACTGCGGCGGACGAGGAGGCGGGCGCGCGCGCGTCCCCCGCGTCGCCGCTGCGGCGCCGCCGCGCGCCGCCGCGCGCGCGGCCGACGGTCCGCGACGTCGTCCCGCTCCCGGGCCAGAGCATCGACGAGGCCCTCGAGGAGGCGGAGCTCCGCTACATCGAGGACTTCCCGGAGGAGTTCCAGGACGACGAGCGGGCGCCCGCCGCCGTCGACGCCCCGCGGCCGGAGCGCGCGGCGCCGCGCTCGAAGCCCGACGCCGACGGGGCCGCGCCGCCGGCCGCGGAGCCGCTCGCCGGGGCGTCGCCCCCGCGACGGCGCCGGCGCCAGGCGGTCCCGCCACTGGCGCCGGCCGCCGCGCCGCCGCCACCGACCGGCGGCGGCGCGCCGCGCGTCGAGGACGAGGACCGCGAGCGCGTCCCGCTCGGGCCGCGCGCCGCGCGGCTCGCGGCCGCGGAGCGCCGGACCCGCGAGCTCGAGGGCCGCGCCGCGGCGAGCGCGCCGTCGCGCGGCGTCGAGCGCGGCGCCGGCAAGTACCAGAGCCGCCTCCTCGGCGACCGCCGCGACGCCGCCAAGTTCGACCGGCCGCCCGACGAACGCGCCGCGCCGCCGCCGGCCGCGCGCGCGGACGGCGCCCCGGAGCCGGGATGGGACCGGCCCCTGAACCCGCGCCAGGTCGCGCGGATCCGCAAGCGGCGCCGCGACCTCGACGTCCTGCGCTCCGTCGGCCGGCTCCCCGCGTGGCTCGACCCGCGCGAGGGCCGCCGCGTCGCGAAGCCCAAGACCGAGAGCCGCCAGAGGCACGCGAGCTCGCGGCCGCGGACTGAGAAGGGCGTCTTCATGACCCGGGCGCAGCTCGACGCCGAGGGCTACGCCCGGGACCCCGCCACGGGAGACTGGTCCAAGCGCGGCCCCGCCGTGCGCGTCGATACGACCACCCGCCCCTCTTAGTCGGTGTTTTTATTGTACCCAACGCGACGGAGGTGTTCGGAGTCGACGTGAACCGCCCCGGAGCGCCCCCTGCGCCATCGTGCGACACTGGCAACACACGATGCCGACGGCCGCGTGCGCGCGTTCACCGCGGATGGCCTCCCCTAACTTACAAAGGTGACGTGTTTCTTCCTGAATACAACTCTAAGCGCAGGACTCCCGGGAGGAAGCCCAAGCTTCTCAGGTAGGGTTACATCTGTTGAACTGCAAGGAGGCCTGCAAGGAAGCCTCAAGGAGAGCCCTAAGGAGGCCCAGGCGGCTCGCCGGTCGAGGTGTGGCCAGGTGGACACAAGGCCGGCGAGCTCGAGCCGAGCCGAGTTGCGAACTCACTCATCATCTGCTCTCCTACGCGCGCTCCTGCTTCACACGACCCCATCCTCACAGCGCCGCCCCGCGTCCCGTCATGATGTCTCATAACCCCTCTCCTCGAACGTCGTGCGAAAAATTGAGCGCTCGCGACGGGTTTCGTCCCAAAACGGGCGACCCGGCGCCCGGGCGGCGGGCGAGTCAAACGGCTCCGCTACGTCTTCGAGTCCTCGGTGCACGCCGAGCGCATCCAAGCCCGGCCTCCCACCTCGCGGCCCGCCGGCGGCGTGGTCCGCGGCGGGTACCCGGAGCGTGGCGCCGTCGATGGCGGCCTCCGGGTCCAAGGGGCCGAACGCGCCGGCTCCCGGCCGTCGGCGGACGTGCCTGGAAGGTCTTCACCCCCTGATTCGCGCGCCTCGTCCGTCGATCGTCGCCGCGGAACCGCGTCGATTCCCCCGCAGGCACGATAAAGATTCAACCATGCACGTCATCGTCCGCGTGCTCTTGCTGGCGCTCGCCCTCGGCACCGCGGCGAAAGGAAACAAAGACAATCCTGGAGGATATGTCGTGGAACTCCACGGACAACCGAAAAGTGGCACTACTTGGTTGGAAGTAATCACCGATGACATCGTTACGGCCGGCGGCGGCAAAAAAGAAAACTCGCGGAGAGCAGATTATGGGGATGAATTGATTGGACCCATTGGTAAGCATTCAATGCCGGGCGCCAAAGGTGTGGCGAATGAGGTTCATGTCGACATAAAATCAAGTTATGAAGCGTTCTTGAAACATTGCGTCGAGCACGGCATCAAGATTTGGTCCGAGGCCTGCGTGCTGCCCGAGTACCTCGGGCCGCTCCCGAACAACACGCGCTACGTGCTCATCCTGCGGGACCCGCGCGCCGTTGTCGTCAGCTGGGCTCATTACAAAAACAAAGGACTCGTAAAAGGGAAAGTCTCCGAGGCTACGTCACTAAAACGGTGCCGCAGGTCGCCGCGGTCACGTCGGTCCGCTACTACTGGCACGACGAGTTGCTCCGGCGGACGCACCCGAGCCTGATTCTGTTCTACGAGGATCTCGTCGCAAACCCCGTCGACGAGTACTACCGGCTCGCGTCGTTCCTCGACGTCAACCTCGAGCCCGACGTCATGTTCGGCGTCGTCGACCAGACGTCGGCCGCGTCCATGAGGAAGGACGAGAAGCACAACCTGCTCCCGGGCCCGAACAGAGCCAACTCGGACAGAGCGAAGGTGCGGTCCGCGACGCCCGACGCGTTCCGCGAGGAACTTTCGGCCCGAGCCTGGGCCAACGTGACGGCGGCGATGGCGCCGCTCCTCCACCCGGCGCTGCGGATGAAGTGGCTCTACAACGACCTCGATGTGAAGTTCCTGGGGCTCAAGGAGCACCAACGACGCCACTAGGACGCCGGCCGCTGCCTCCCCTTCGACGACGCGTTCGACGCGGCGCCCCCCGCGCGGTCGCTCCGCGTCGAGCTCGGCCACATGTGTTACCGTAACAACTTTGCCGCTCCAGAGGCGAGTTGGTCGAGTTTGACTTTGCCGGTGATTCGCCGCCGGCGAGTTTGCCGGCGCGCCGGTTTTCCGGCGGCCGAGGCCGCCCCGGCGTCCGGCGTACGACGCGGCGCGCGGTCAGCGCGGAAACTACTGGAATGAGCGCTGCTTCATTGGCCTGGATACTACGGCGCTTCGCCGTTCCTTCTTGCAGACGGCTGGTTTGTATTGGGGGCGTAGGCCCCCGAGCGCGGCGCGCGACGACGGCTCCTCACGCGGGCGCCCGCCGGAGCCAGGAGTCGAAGAGGTAGAGGAGCTCCCGGGGCTTGTAGCGCGGGGCCATGTGGCCCGCGTCGCGGACCGTCGCGAACGTGAAGTTCGGGACGTAGCGCGTCGCGTAGCCCGAGACCGGCATGGTGCCCGGCGCCGTCCACGGGTGCCAGGCCTCGACCTCGGGGAGCGCCAGCGACGCGATCCAGCGCTGCGTGCCGACGTGGGGCACGCACGGGTCCGCGTCGCCCGAGTAGTGCATGACGCGGAACGCCGAAACGAGCGTCGACGCGTACTCGTCGAGGAGCGAGTGGCGCGTGAAGTTGTAGTCGAGGCCCGTGGAGAAGTCGAAGCGCTGGCGCGACACGTGGAGCGCGTCCTGCACCGCCGGCAGGTTGAGCCACACGGACGCGGCGTTCTCCTGGCCGCAGGCGTACTCGCCCGCGTCGTTCGCGTAGGCGCTGCCGCGGACGTGCCTCGCCGCGGCCGCGACCGCGGCGGCCGGCGGCGCCGCGGCCGCGCGGCGGCCGCTGTCGGCGCGGAGGAGGTCCGCGCCGCAGCTGTCGTAGAGAAAGTAGCCGCCGCCCATCTCGTAGGTGTCGCCCGCGACGGACATCGCGGGGCGGACGGGGTCCTCGAGCGCGGCGGCGCACGCCGGCGGCGGCGGCGCCTGCGGACCCGGCGGCGCGGCGACGTACCAATCCGCGCACGCGGCGTCGATGGCCCGCTTCGCCGCGTCCGGGATCATGCCGTGGCCGTGGAGGAAGTCCAGCGAGACCTGCGTGCCCGCCCAGCCGCTGTAGGGCGTGCACGTGTAGACGCGGTTCCCGGGGCAGGAGTTGCCGAGCGCGAAGCCCTCGAGCGAGTAGGGCGCCGTCGCCGCGTTCGCCGCCGTCCGCGCGGCGAGGAGTTTCAGCGCGACGGTCGGCACGAGCACGCCCGCGTACGACTCGCCGGCCATGACATAGCGGCGGCCGCGCAGCTCCGGGAAGAGGTCGCCGAAGAAGGCCTCGAGCACGGCGACGTGGAGGTCCGCCTGCGAGTCGTCGTCGTGGCCGCAGGCGCCCGGCGGCTCGCAGGAGGAGAAGCCCGTCGGCGCCGGGTGCTCGAGGAAGAGCAGCGACGCGCCGCCGGTCACGTTCTGCCAGCCGCGCGCGTTGTCGAAGACGCGCGGCGCGCCGGCGCCCGCGGCGAAGGAGTAGTCGTTGAGCGTCAGCGGGCCCATCTCCGTGTACATGCCGATGAGCGAGCTGCCGCCCGGGCCGCCCTGCTGCCACTGCACGAGCGGCGCGTCCTCGTCGGCGTGGAGCGCGAGGTAGTAGTGCGTGTGGACGACGACGCCGGGCCGCCCGGGGTAGGGCGTCGTCACGTAGCCGCTGTAGTGCCTGCCGGGCAGCGGGCGGCCGTAGCCGGGCAAGCTCGGGCCGTCGACCTCGTCCGCGGCGACGGCGGCCGCGGCGCCGTCGAGCGTGCTCGCAAGGAGCAGGAGGGCGAGTTTCATGGGTCTAGCGTTCCTACAACACGACGAACATCGGGCTCTGGCACGAGCCACCCACGGACAAAAGATTCGAACCTCATGGCGAGGTGCACGTGGGTGGGTGGGTCCGGAGGCCTGGTTTGGAAAATCTACAGTGTACTGATGGGTACTTGTAACGCGCGCGCGCGCGCGCGGTCATGACCCGCGGTGCCGCGGCTGACGGTCGCGCGGCGCCTCGGCGACGTGTCTTCACGCCGCTATCGTCGTCTCTGGGCAAGCGCCGCTTCTCGCCGCGGCGAGTCGAGCGGCGCGGGTGCCCGTTCTCATCGCAAAGCGGAGATTGGACCGCGCAGCTCCGCGACACGAGAGAGCGCGCGCGCGGAATCGCGCGCGCGTTGTGGCGATTTTGCGAGCGGCAACTTGAAGGCAACTAACGAAACGGAGGTCCCTGATTGGCCAGGAGGTGGGTGGGTGGGTGCCGGGCCCGCGATCGAAGAATCCGGCATGAGGTACCGCGGGATTTATCCCGGGCGGCTCTTGGCTCTGGCACAAAAAAGCGATTACAATTGTTGAACCTTGTGGCAAGAAAGCTCTGCCCTATGCGCCGAGCCCTCAGCCTCGCCGCGGTGCTCGCGGCGCGGCGCTCGCGGGCGCTGTCGCTGTCGCGCGGACCCGTGACGATCCGCGTCGCCGACGAGGCGCGCATGGAGCAGCTCGGCGCGGCCTTTGGCGCCCACGCGGCGCCGGGCAAGACCATCTGCCTCTCCGGCGACCTCGGCGCGGGCAAGACCGTCTTCTCGCGGGGCTTCGTCCGCGCGGCCGCCGGCGACGCGCGGCTCCGCGTGACGTCGCCGACGTACCTGCTCGACAACGCCTACGACGACCGCGACGGCCTGCCGGAGGGCCTCGTCGTCCGCCACATGGACCTCTACCGCCTCGCCGCCGTCGAGGCGTCCGCGCCGGTCTACATGCTCGACCTGCCGGACGCGCTCGCCACCGCCTGCTGCCTCATCGAGTGGCCCGACCGCCTCGGCGCGCTCCCGGAGCCCCGGCTCGACGTCGTCATCCGCGCGCCCGGCGGCGGCGACCGCGCCGTGACCTTCGACGCGGCGCCGCTCGGCGACGCGCACCCGCCCTGGCTGGCGGCCATCGCGGCCCTCGCCGACGAAGGCCCGGCGTAAGTCGCGCGGCGGGGACTCGCGTGGAGGGGGACCTCGCCCAGAAGGGCGGCGGCGGCGGCGGCGCGGTCCGCGGAGGGAGGCGGGGACTTACGTGGAGGGCTTCCTCAGAAGGGGCGGTGGCGGTGGCGGTGCTTGTGCTTGTGGCGGCCGCCGCCCACGCGGATGTTGTAGACGACCTGGGGCTGGGGCGGCGGCGGGAGCGGCACGGCGAACTGCATGCCCGGGCCGACGCCCTGGGGCACGATGACGCCGACGCGCGCGCCGGACGGCGCCTGGACGACGATCTGCATGCCCGGAAACACGCCCGCGGGGACCTGCACGAGCATGGTCCCCGGCGGCGCGACGGGCGCGACGGGCGTCGCGACGGCGACGGGCCGCGGCGGCGGCACGTAGGGCGGCGGCGGCGGCGGCGCCGGGGGCGGCACGTAGGGCGGCGGCGGCGACGGCGGCGGCGTCGGCGGCTCCGGCGGCGGCGGGTGCGCCTCGGGCTCGTCGGGCTCGTCCGGCGGGATCTCGACGGGCTCGTCCGGGTCCGCGAGCGCGTCGGGCATGGTGACCCAGGCTTGAGCCAGGCGCTTGTAGTTGCCCGAGCACTCGGCCTTCAGATCATCCTTCAAAGGGGTCCCGTACTTGCGCTCGTAGGCGGCGGCGATCTCCCGCACGTCGGCCTTGTCGTGGCCGCCGAGCACGCGGCAGACGACCGCGTCCGACGTGCCCAGGCCCCGGAAGGCGTCCTTCAACCGCTTCGCGTAGTAGTCCGCCGGCGGCAGGAGCAGCGCGCCGAGGCACTTGGCGAGGTTGCCCGACATCTCGCTCTCGATGAGCGACTCGAGCGACTTGCCGTGCTTGTTTTCGTACGCGGTCCGCACGGCGTAGTTCGTCTCCGGCGAGTTCTTCGCCAGCACTTCGATGAACGCCTGCTCGTCCGTGCCCCACCCCGCGGCGCCCGCGGCGAGCTTGTCCGCGAGCGCCTCGGCCTCGGCCTCGTCGGCCTCGCCGAGCTCGTCGCGCTCGCCCTTGAGCAGCTGCAGCGCCAGCGTCTCGTTCGCGCCGTGGAGCTCCGAGGCGACTCGGTCCACCAAGCTCGCGTCGTGGCGGCCCTCCCACTTGGCCTTGGCCGCGCGGACGCGCGCCTGGCTGTTGCCGACGAGGAACTCGACGAGCGCGACGCCGTCCGCGCCGAGGCCGTCCATGGCCGCGTCGAGCTGGCGCACGTCGGCCTCTTCCGGCGACGCGACGAGGTACGTCAGGAGGAGCTTGTACCAGCCCGACGTCTCCTCGCGGATGCGCCCGACCATGGGCTTGTCGCGCTGGTCGTAGTACGCGGCCGCGACGGCCTGGAGGTGGGGCTTGGAGCGCGACGCTAAGAGAGCGATCAGCTTCCCGTCGGACGTGCCGAAGCCGTGGCAGCAGTTGTAGACCTCCTGGGCGTCGATGGACGCCATCATCTGGTTCACGGACGCGTTCTCGACGACGAGCGCGTCCAGGAGCGCCTCCAGGTCGTCGCAGGCCTCGACGTCGCGGGCCGTCGTCGCCTCGAAGGCCTGCGACGGGTCCTCCAGGGCCGAGATCCACGCCAACGACGCCCGCAGGAAGTCGCCGCTGATCTCCGACTTCAGCGCCTCCTTGAGCGTGCGCCCGTATTTCCGCTCGTAGGCCGCGACGACGGCGGGCATCGACGGCCGGCTCGCGTGGTCGAGGCCGCCGAGCAAGCGCACCAATATGGCCTCGTTCGTGCCGAAGCCCTTCATGGCCTTCTCCAGGCGCATGGCGACGAACTCCTCGGGCGTCACCTACCGAGAAGGCGGCGATGAGAGCACCGGTTCCACGGCCCAAAGTCTCTCGAAGGTCGTCGCGGCCGCGGGACGCCGGGCGCCACCAGCAGCGCCGACAGTCCGAGCGCGAACTTCTTGCCGCACTTGGCCTCGAGCGCGCTCTTGAGCGACTTGCCGTGCGCCTTCTCGTAGAGGTCCGCGCAGAGCGCCGCCTCCGCCGGCGGGCAGCCCGCGAGCCAGTTCACGACCTTGTCCTCCTTGAAGTCCTGCATCATGCCCTTGGCGCACTCCTTGTGGAGCTTCTCGACGTGCTGCGCCGCGCGCGCGTCGTCGACGGCCTCGTCCCAGGGCCGCTCGCCCTTGAGGATCTTCAGCAGCAGGATGTTGAGGTGGCGGTACTCGTGGCCGAGCTCCTTCGTCACGTAGTCGAAGAGGGACGCGTCGTTGCGGCCCTCCCAGCAGGCCTTGCCCGCCAGGAGCTGCTCGGGCGTCCGCGTGCAGCAGACCTCGATGAGCGCCTCCTCGTCGCAGCCCAGGCCCTTGCAGGCCTTGTCGATGACGTCGGCGACGTAGACCTCGGGCGCCTACCAAGCGCGTCGGTGACGATCTTTTCAAAGTTTCCCGGTCAAAAGCTCTCGAACATCGTCGTGGCGGCAGACGCGGTCAGGTGCCGACATGGCGTAGGCCATCATGCGGCCGTAGTCGCTCGACGTCTCGCCCTTGACCTCCTTGGCCAGATCCTTGTCGTACTTTTCCCGGTAGGCCGCCGCGGTGCGCGCGAGCGCGGCCTTGGTCCGCGTGCAGAGCGTCGCGACGAGCCGCTTGTCGTCGCAGCCGATGCCCGTGAGCCCGCCCTTCATCGCCTCGTGGCACGCCTCGGCGTCGGCCTCGGCGACGCGCGCCTTGAGCATGCCGTTGATTTTCTGGAGCCGCGCGCAGCACTCCTTGAGCACCGCCGGGTCGTCGAGCTCGCCCCGGGCCTCGACGATGCGGGAAACGGTCGTGTTGGCGAGCCGCGTGTTCTCATCGGCGAGCACGCTCGTCGTCGCGGCGACGACGGCAGCCATTGGATTGAGATTCGCGTGTTCTGCGGCGCTCGATCGTGCGGACTGCACCACGCTCGATTTAAGGTCGACGCCCCCGCCTACGCCTCGACCGCCATCATCGCCTACTCCTCGCCCGCCGCTCGGCGTCGGCGTCGGCGCGCGCGCGCGCCGCGCGGTCGAGGAAGGCGGCGTAGGCGTCGACGGCGTCGCGCTGCTTCTTCGACGGCGCGTCGGCGTCGGCCTGGCAGCCGCAGTCGCCGGCCGGCTCGCCGAGGCCCGCGACGAAGGCGCCGGGCACGAGGGCGAAGGTCGCGGCGCCGTCGTGCGCCGCGATGGACCGGTGCAGCAGCCCGTCGAAGCAGCGGGGCCGCCGCGCCTCCTCGAGGTCGCGCGCGAGGCGCCGGTCGCCGCGGGAGTCGACGGCGTCGACCGCGAGCGCCGCGCCCGGCGCCGCGGAGTCGAGGCCGCCGGCCGGGAAGACGGCCGCGGCGCCGCCGGCGACGGCGCCGCCGGCGAGCCACGCGGCGACGGCCGCGGGGGCCGCGGCGCCGGGCCCGCCGCGCGCGCAGCCGTCCGCGGCGCCCGGCGCCGCGGCGCCGCCGTCGACCGCGGCCCGGAGCGCGCCGAGGCTTTCGAGGGCCGCCGCGTCGTCCACGCGGAACTGGGGCAGGACCAGCGTCGCGCCCGGCGCGGCGCCCGCGGCCGCGGCGGCGACGGCGTCCGCGGCCCCCGCCGAGAGCCGCGCGGCCGCGGGCGCGACGACGTCGCGGCGCGCGGGCGAGTTGTCGAGGCCCACGTTTTTGAGCGCGCGGAGGGCGTCGCCGGAGCCGTCGACGAGCGCGAGGACGAGCGTCGAGAAATCCGCGCGCGGCGCGCAGTGCGCCCACGCGGCCGCGAGCGATCCGACGAGCGCGTCGAACGCGGCGCCGCGCGCGACGGCGGCGGCGAGCACGAGGGGCCCGGTCCAGCCGCAGCCGTTGGCCTCGATTGCTTCCAGCGTGTCCTGGGCGCCGTCGTCGAGGAACGACGCGGCGACGACGAGCGCCGGCCGGTGCTCCGGCGCGCGGTGCGCCGCGAAGGGACCGTCGCCCGCGCGGAGGTCGCCGTCGCCGGGCCCCGCGTAGGCCCAGAGCAGGTCGTCGCGGGCGAAGGCGGGCCGCGCGTCGCCGCAGGCCTTGAACGCGCAGTACTCGAGCGCCCGCGCGGCCGCGAGGCGGTCGTCGACCGCGGCGGCCGCGCCGCCGGGCTCGAGCGGCGGCACGGGGACGACGCCGTACCGCGTCGCCAGCAGCGCGCCCGGGAGCCCGCCGTGGCCGTGGCCGCTGAAGGACTTCCACTTCTTCTTCCACTCCTGGAAGTGGAAGAACGCGGCCGCGGCGAAGCCGCCGTCCTGTCGCGCGTAGGGGTCGCGCGGGAGCGTCGACCGCGCGTAGCGCCCGGCGCCGTCGAGCACGATCGTGTCGAGGGCGCCGTAGTCGCCGCCGGCGAGGCAGTTCTGGTAGGCCGGGTTCACCCAGCTCATGCACCGCTTCGCGGCCGCGTCCAGCTTTTCGACGGGCCGCCACGGCGACCCGCGCGCGGCGGCCGCCGCGCGCGCGGCGACGGCGCCGTCGCGCGGCGCCAGGGGCCGGCACGGCGCGCCGCCCCCGAGGCACCGGCGCACCTGGCCGTCGGCCGTGACCCAGGCCGCGTCGCGGTCGCCCTTCTGCGCCGCGTCCGTGAAGTGCTTGACGACGAACTTCGTCCGCAGCCGCGCCGCGGCGACGGCCGTGCTGTAGCAGCCCTCGCAGGACTCGTAGTGGGCCTTGTCCTCGAGGCGCTTGCGGAGCCGCGGCCCGAGGAAGGTGCAGCGCAGGTACGCGACGTTGACGTCCGCGGCGTTGCGGTGCATCGTCCACTGGCCCCGCGTGTACGCGCGCCACTGGTCGCCGAAGGAGTAGGCGACGACGTCGAAGTCGTCCCACTCGTCGCCGTCGACGAACGCCTCGACGTCGCCCATCAGCACGTCCAAATCGCCGAACGCCCAGTGGCTGTAGGGCTCGAGGTACTCGCGGAAGACGACGCCGATGGCCGGCTTGAACTCGACGAGGTGCCGCGGGTTCCGTTGGAAGGTCCCCGCGATGACCGCCGCGAGCGACCCGGGCTCCAGCTCGGCGTCGTCGGGGAAGGGGTCCCCGAAGGACGCGGCGCCCGCCGGGATCCGCGCGTGGAGCCGCGCGAACCGGTTGACGCCGACGGCCTCGAACCTGACGTTGCCCGGGAGCCAGGGCGGCGCGTCGCCGCGCCCGGCGAGGAAGTCGCGCGCGTCCTTCGGGATCGCCGCCGGGTCGCTCACGAGCACGAGGTAGTCGGCGACGCGCGACGACGCGCGGCAGCTCGAGGCGAAGAGCTTGAAGTAGGACGGCAGCCGCGACCCGACGTAGGGCACGACCATGGCGAGGCGCCGGTCCGCGCGCGGCGGCGGCGGCGGCGCCGCGCGCGGCTCGCGCGCGCCGGCGGCGCCGCGTAGCTGCTTGGGCGCCGCGGCGCCGGAGATGTGGAAGAGGTAGGCCGGCAGCAACGCGCAGACGACGAAGAGCGCCGCGAAGACGCAGACGACGCTCCAGCGCCGCGGCCGGCGGCGGCCGCGCGGCGGCCTCATGGGCGCGTCGGTGCGCTCAAGGCGCCAACACCAAAAAAGCTCGACTCATCGCACAATGCGCGGGCTGTTGCACTGCACTTGCAGGGAGGTTGATGCCAACCGGATCTTGAGGACCCCCCATGGTCCCAGGGCAGCTCGCGGGGCCGACCTCTTACGGGGGCGGGCGGGTGTCGGTCGGGGTGCGGGCCCCCTACTACCAAACCGGGGCGTGTCACTTGGCCCAGTTCTCGAGGAACTTTTCGACCTCGTCCTTCTTGAGCAGCGTGAGCTTGTCGAGGGAGATGGGCTGGGACGTGACGGGGTCGAGGACGTCGAGCTGGCCCTTCTCCGGCGCGCCCTTGGCCTCGTTCTTCATGGCCTGGTCGCGCGCGGCCTTCATCTCGGCCTTGATGTACTTGGCGTACTCGCTGTGGAGCGCGGGCATCTTCGAGTTCGGGCAGACGCACCAGTCGTCCTTCTCCATATGCCTGCCCGTGACGACGCACATGGGGATCTCCTCCTTGGTCGTCGGGCACTCGAGCTCCGTGCGGGGGATCATGACGCCGCTGATGGGGCAGGGCGACAGGAGCTCGGGCTCCTCCTCGAGGTTCGGCCGCCGGATCATCTGCTCGATCTTCCGCTTGAACTTGGGGTCGATCTTCCCGCGGAGCTCGGGCCGCATGAGCTGCGTCGCGTACTCGTGGGCCGACGCCTTGAGCCCCGCGCGCTGGCACTCGATGACCGTCGACGTGAGGATTGGCGCGCCGTGGCTCGGGAACTTGGAGATGGACTTGGCGACGCGGAGGAGCATGCGCGCGGCCGCGTCGTGGTCCCCGGCCTTGATCAGCTTCTTCACGAGGAGGTAGGAGTGGAGCAGGATGAAGGGCTTCCGCAAATTCTGGGGCACGTGGACCTCCTGCGCCTCGAGCTGGATCGTCGTCTCGTAGAGGATCGCGTGCGCGGCCTTGTAGGACCCCAAATCCTGCTCCTGGCGCGCGATGATCACCGCCGTCTTCGCCGCCTGGGGGAAGTTGCCCAGCGCGAGGTAGAGGCGGTAGATGTAGTTCGGGTCCTTGGGCACGCCGTCGGGCTCGCCCATGAGGAAGTCGATGAGCGTGTGCGTGAGCGAGTCGCTCCGCGCCTTGCCGACGATCTCGATGGCGCGGTGCACCTCCTTCTCGCCGCACTGGATGAAGAGCTTGAGGGCCCGCGGGTACTGGCCGCAGAGCGCGTAGAACTGGCCCGCGAGGCCGAGCTCGTGCACGGCCTCGTAGTGCTGCGCGACGCTCAGCGCGTCGTCGGGCGCGATGGCGTCGCCTAAAACCGCCGTGTAGACGTCCATCTGGCTGTGGAGCTTGGACAAATTAAAAGCCTCGTCGCTCCGCTTCGCCATGAGCAGGAACTCGATCGCGCCGCGGAAGTCGCCCTGCTGCTGGCAGAACCGCGCGACGAGCTGGGCGCCGTCGCTGCTCTCCGTCTTGCGCACGATCTCGAAGGCGCGCTCCGGCTGGTTCAGGTTGCCCAGGTAGAGGCGCACGACCGAGTCCATGTCGTGCGCGACCTCGTAGGCCTTGACCGCGTCGCCGAGCTTGCCCGCGGCCTCGCAGGCCTTGGCGTACTGGGCGTGGAGTTTCGGTAAAGCGACCTTGTGCATGATGGCCGCGGCCTGCGTGAAGTTCAGCTTGCGGATGTAGATCGCCGCGGCCTTCTCGAAGTGCTCCGCGAGCTCGAAGAGCGACGCGGCCTCCGAGTGCTGGTTCATGCCCTCGAGGATCGCCGCGCAGTCGCGGCAGAGGCCCTTGTCGGAGGATTCTTTGACGTACTGGATGCCCCGGCGCAGGTCGCCCATGCGCAGCGTGCACCGCGCGACGCCCGCGAGGCACACGGGCCGCGTCGACGCGGACGACGCGGGCAGCGCGCCGCCCGGCGCGGCCGTCGGCGGCGGCCCGTCGCCGAAGCCGTCCTTGGACTCGCCCACGTCCCCCCGGTCGTCGCAGGCGCGCAGCGCCGCCTCGAACATGCGGAGCGCGGTCTCGTACTCGCCCTTGAATTCCAATTGCTGCGCGTACGCGACGGAGATGTAGGGCACCTGGGACGGGTCGAGCGTGTGGGCGAGCTTGAGGGCCTGGTCCCAGTGGAGCAGGTCGCGGCGCATCTCGAGGGCGCAGGACGGCTTCGAACTCGAGAGGAAGAGGTCCTGCGCGGCGTTGTAGTTGCTGAAGAGCAGCAGCACGTGGCCCGCGAGCAGGTTCTTGTCCTCGAGGTGGGCGATGCGCTCGAGGCCCATGACCATGCCCGCGTCGCCGAGCTGGCGGTAGACGCGGATCGCCAGGTCGATGTCCATGATCTCCATGGCCTTGCCGCTGAGCGCGAGCCAGTACGCGCGGTTCTTTAAAGCCAGCGCGGCGTTCCAGGCGTCCTTGAGGCGCAGCAAGGCTAAATTCTGGCAGAAGACGAGCTGGTGCGGCGCGCCGGCCTCCTTGTGCTCGTACTGGGGGCACGTGATGGACGTGATGCTCCCCGTCGCGACCTGGCACGTGATCGTGCCCTCGCGACTGCAGATCGGGTAGAGCCCCTGCTGCACGGGCGTCGCCTTCTGGATCATGGTCACCTCGCCGTCGGCGGAGATGTCCACGGGCCCGAGCTTCGCCGCCATGGGGCCCTTGATCGTCGTGTGCGCGTAGACGTACGTGTGGAGCTCCTTGCCGTCGGCGACGAGGAGCACGTTCCGGTCGCGCGCGTCCCACATGACGCACTGCACCGACGGCGGGAAGGACGGGATGGACGTGAGCTCCGCGGACACGGGGTTGTAGATGAAGCCCTGGTGCTGCGCGTCGACGACGACGACGCGCGTGCCCGCGGCGTTCGGGTGCAAGGACGCGACGGCGTGCGCGTGGCGCAGCTCGACGCCCGGCAGCATGGTCCACTCGTCCGGGTGCACGGCGAAGAACTCGACCGTGCCCGCCTGCGTGCCGTAGATGAGGAAGTCGCGCGTGAGCGCGATGGCCGTCGCGCAGACGAAGTGCTCGTCCTCGCGGACCGGGAACGTCTTCCGCTGCGTGCCCGCGCCGGCCTGGGCCTCGATCTCGTGGAGCGTGACGCGCGTGCCGCTGAGCACGGCCGCGTGCGCGCCGTTCAGGCAGATCTTGTCGACCTTGCCCAGGTACTCCTGCTCGTTGACCTTGGGCCTTTTAGGGTCGACGTACGCGTAGTACATGACGACGTTGTTCATGCCCACGGCGACGTGCGTGGGCCCGACGGCGACGAAGGACGGCTCCAAGCCCACGGGGAAGACGACGGGCCGCGGCTGGTCCGGCGGCGGGCTCGATGCGCCGCCGGGGCCAGTAGCGGCCGGTGGCGGCGGCGCGGCGATGACCGTGATCTCGCGGAGCGACGACAGGTAGGCCACCGTCGTCCCGTGGGCGTTGTGGACGATGGGCATGCGCGCGAGGAAGGCGTGGACGCCGCCGCCCTCCGTCGCCGCCGTCAGGATGTGGCCGTCGGGGCTCCACTCGATCTTCTCGATGGACCCGTCCGTCGCGTCGAGGCCGATGGACTCGCGCTTGAGGTCCTTGAAGTGGGTCATCTCGACGAGCTTGACGCCCGTGTCGCCGGCGACGGCGGCGTACTTCAGCGTCGGCGAGTAGGCGATGTCGTAGAGCGCCTTGTGGTGGAACCGGCCCGAGAAGAGCTCCTCGCCGATCTCCGAGATGTGCGTCGAGATGACCACCAGAAACCCCTCGGAGAAGCCGAGCATCATGAAGCCGTCGCCGAACCACTGGTGGGCGACGATGGACCCGTAGCGCTGCTGGAAGGCGAGCTCGAGGGGGTTGTCCGGGTCGTTGAGGTCGTACAGGAGCAGCGACTGGCCGCCCATGTTGATCGACAGGTGGCTCTCGGGCGTCGCGGCGCCGTCGCGCGCGTTGCCGTTCGTTTTTTGGGTCGCGAAGACCATCTCCCGGGGCGCGTGCTTGAGCTCCGTCTGCTCCATGGTGTCGCCCTGCTCGTTGCTCAGCGTCAGCGTGCAGTCGTCGGAGCCGAGCGCGAGCCGGTTGTCCTTGGACCACGCGCCGCAGGAGATGCGCCGCGGGTGCTTGCCCAGCACGTTGACCTTCTTGCGGCTGTGGCGGTTGTAGACCATGACGTTGCCCTTGGCCGTGCCGATGACGAGCTGGGGGCCGCTCCGGCTCCACTTCATGTAACTCGGGTCCTTGAGCGCCGTATCTAAACGCGTGACCTCGCGGTACTGCATGTCCCAGATGGGGATGAGGCCCTGGCCCTCCTGGAGGATGGCGAGGCAGTCGCCGTCCTTGTCCCACTCGAGGGCCGACACGGGGCTCGTCGTCGTCAGCGAGATCTCGTAGCAGTGCTCGCCGTGGCGGTCCCAGACGTGCACGACGCCCGAGCCGCCGCCCGTCGCGAGGAAGTTGCCCTTGGGCTCCCAGGAGAAGACGGCCGGGGCCTTGGTCTCGCCGCGGCCGTCGCTCGACGTCAGCTTGAAGAGCTGGCGCATGGTCCTCTAGATGGGCGCGGCGCCGGCGCGCCGCGTCCGCCCCTGCGATGCCGCGCCGCCGCGGCCTCGAACGATCCGCGCACCGCTTCGCGCGCGCGTCGCCGTCGACCGGCGCGCCGGCCGAGCCCGTCGGGAGAAATCGACCCGGGTCGCGCCGCCCGCGGTCTACCGCCGCCGCTGCGTGCGGCCCGATGCGCGACGGGCAGCCCGCTTTCAAACCCCACCGGCTGAAGCAAGGGCAAACTATATCTCTACTGGTTGCGTACTTCATTGAGGCCATGGAAGCGGCGGAGAAGCAGCTCCTCGGCGGCGTCTGGCGCGCCGATGGCGGTGTCAAGAACTTGCCTCTGAGGCCTGGCAGGGCGGGCGCTCCCCCGCCGTAGTCTCCCCCCGGGAGGCGGGCGACGTCCCCTGGCGCGCTGTGTCCCTCGCCGACCCCCCACGGGGTGGCCCCCCGGGCCCCCGGGATGACTGAGCGGGGCGCGCTCCCGGCGGGTTCCGCGCCCCTCGTCGCGGGCGCCTACGGCCACGCGTGCGACGTACCCGCCGGCGACGTTCCCCCGGGCCGGCGGCGTGCTGAGCGCCGCGCCGCCGCTCGCGGCGTGCTACTTTTACGCGCCGGCGATGTCCCCGCCGCCGCCGCCGCCGGCCGCGGCGACGCCGCCGGCGGCGGCGCCCAAGGTCCTGACGCCCCTCGCCCCGGGGTCGCCGCCGCCGCCGAGCTTCAAGCCCCCCCCGGCGGCGCCGCCGCCCCTCGCCGCGGCGCCCCGGCCGCCGCCCGCGGTCCGGCCGCCGCCGCCGCCGCCGCCCGCGCCGCCGCCGGAGTCGGGCCCCGGCGCCGTCGAGCGCCTCGAGCGGTCGGCGCGATGCCCCGGCTCTGCTTCGTGGGCCACCAGCCCGACGGCGGCTACGCCATCTCGCGGCGCCGCCCGGGCGACGCGCCCGTGCTCAGCGCCGCGCCCGTGCTCGCGCCGCAGCTCGCGGCCCGGCCGCCGATCCTCGGGCGGCCGACGGTGCTCCTCCGGCCGCTGCCGCCGGGGTCGCCGCCGCCGCCGTCCATGCGCACGCGCCTCACGCAGACGCTCCACAACCACCCGGCGCCGCGGCCGGCCCCGCGGCCGGCGAAGCCGCCGCGCGAGGACGACGCGGCCGCCGCGGCCGCCGCCGCGGCCGCGCCGCGGCCGCCGTCGCCGCGCGCGCCGTCGAGCGCCGCGAGCTCGAGCGTCGCGAGCTCGGCGAACTCGTCGCTCAACATCGACGACTTCGCCGCCGCGCGCGAGGACGCGCGCGCGGCCGCGGCCGCGCCGCCGCCGGACCGGCTCGACGAGGAGCCCGCGTCCTACGAGGACATCTTCGCGGCGCAGTGCGGCCTCGACCCGTCGGCCGTGCCCTTCTCCTGCCCCGTCTGGGCCGCCGCCGCGTCGAAGAAGCGGCCCTGGGGCGCCGGCGCCGCGCACGCCGCGACGGTCACGCCCGAGCACCGCGCGGTCGACGACGACGGCGACGCCGGCGACGAGCTCCTCGCGTCGACCATCATCCTCGACCAGCTCGCCGACGTCCTCCCGCCCCCGGCCTGAAGGGCCGCGCGGACCCGCGAGACGACGAGCCGCCGCGACCGGCCTCCCCCGCTCCCCGCCCCGGGCCGCGTCNCGAGGGG